CGCGTCCGAGCGAATCGCGCTCGAGCGTATGAGATAGACGAACGCGGTCGCGAGTTATAACGTGGTTCGCAGCTTTGAAACATGTGATACGTCAGCCGGCAAGCTCGACTTCCGGTCACCTGCGTGGAACAGCATCCGAACGAAACAAAATACGAATAAATGTCTTTCAGGCGATGCCAGCGAAAGCTGCGAGAAATAGACCGAGTGAGAGAGAAACGATGGATGACGAACGCTAGCAGTGCCCGTAAGTCGATTCGCTGGTTGACGCATTTTTTAAAGATTCTTTGATGTAGGACGCTCTTTTGTTGAAGGTTGATTGTTGTCAAAATGGTTGTGAGGTTATACTATTTGAAATATGTTAAACGATATGCGACGCGACCGTTAGACGCCGATTTCCGAGAATGGAATATAGATTGACGAATCAGCAAAAACAAGATTCACCGAAACCGGTCACGATCGTCTTGGACGGTCGCGAGCATAGAGACGAAAATGGGAAAACGGGCGCTCCGTTCACGACGATCTTCTTAGACGTAATTTTTGTAAATCGATAACATTCCGTGTAACCAAGTCGCCGTTGCGTAGTGACTTATATACCTTTTTCTTACATTTTTCCTTTTTCTTTTTCCAAGTAGCCTACGCAAGCTACCAGTTAAGTATTTAGTGTATTTACATTTCGAAGAATCGAGCATGCTTTGAAATTTCGTTGGTCGCCTGGAGCGCGCGATTTCTCTGGAAAATAAAGGATTTCGTCTCGGAGGAAGCGTACAGTACAACTGGCATTACCCCGCGTACAGTCTGGTTCGAATTGCGTCGCGTTTTCGCGACGAGTCGACGACGTTTTCTTCCATCGATTCTCTTAGATTGCACGTTGCACGGATAAGAACCCGATTGTGGGGAAGTTTAGAAAGAGTAGAAAGAATAATGAAAAAATCAAAGGGCGAGTTTTTTCGATCGCGAAAACGTCGTCGACTCGTGGACACCGAACGAGCCGGGCTAACGGAAAGACATATGCGACTGATACAAAGCAGTATTTCGTGCGAGAAATTGTAAAGTAAAAGAATTCGCGTACCCTAGCCTTAATGAGAAAGATCAAATTAGGTTTAATTGCGGCGGTACCGCGCAGTGGTTACCGTCGTGGACGCGTCGAAATTATCACGATTGGCTGTAAAATGTTATCGTGGAAGATCAAGGGGCGAGACGAGGATGGCTGGAATAACGCCATCGCGCGATACGCGCGGTCCCTCTTCGCACGGTGATGTATCTAGTGAGAGTAATGTGTTATTAGGTAACTTAAGCGTGCGTCAGACTATAAAGAAGCAGAACGAAAATGCCAGTTGTAAAAAATGATTTTCCGTTTTTTTTTTTTTTTTTTTTTTTTTTTTTTTTTTTTTTTTTTTTTTTTTAATAAAATGGAACACGCGCACTTACTGGTTCGTGAGCGTGACGATAGAGAGAAGAAAAGTTTTTTGTTTCTCGGAACGAACGAGATGGGAAAAACGGAAAAACAAAGAAAACGCAAAGTCCGAAGGAAGCACGCGAGGAGAGAGCCCGCGAGTTTTGGATGATTGTCGTTGGATCATTGCTTTCCGCCGCGAGTAATGTCGGTATCGATAGATAGATACATATGAATTTGTATGAACTTTTTCGTTTTTCATTTTCTTTCGTGTTTCGTCGTTCGGACCGGCCGATTGGAACCGATCACACACGAATGTTCCACGGGCGTAGACACGATGCACCGTAGAACGAAGGTATTATTATTGCAACGGAAGACAATGCCGACGAAAGATCACGGAACAGAGAACGAACAAGGCAGAAGGCGATTCTAAATGGGCGAAATGAACATTGTATCATGTGTATACGCGATTACAAACATTTTTCGAGAAACGACAGCTTTACCGATAGTTAAACCAATAGTTTTTTCGCAACACAGGCACACAAGTAACGAATACCTACAAATACACACACACACACACAGGACACGTAAAAACACGCATATAATACATGTAAAGCGATCCATGCGACAACAAGATAAAAAAAAATAATGTATGAATATAACGTTTGCAGTTAGGTGGGACCAAAAACGACTTTATATCTCTATGTGCATATCCAAGCAACGTGTAATTTAATTAATGAATTAATTAATTATCCATTATTAATGACTAGGTAAAGAAAAAGATCCATTGATAGCGATCGAGGACGATGACGAATCATTAACCAATAATTAGATTATTAAGTTTGTTTATTTATACATTATTCTATGATATAATTATTATTATTATTATTAACTTTATTGCCTTTATTATTATTATTTTATTACAATGATTAATGCCGATGATAATATTATTATTATTATTTAAACAACGTTTTAAGACATGATTATTTAGATATCGAGTAGAACAGTACGTATCATTAATTATTAATTATTTTTAATTATTATTATTATTATTATTATTATTATTATTATTATTATTATGAGATATTTTGTTGTATTATTTTCAATAAAATCGATTGAAAATATTTAATTTCCTAGGTTTCACTTTTTATTTGCGCTTCGCCCAAAATTCTGGGTTGCTAAATGCCATTTTTCTTCTGCCTTTTGCGATCTCGATTACTTTCTTCGAACGAGGATCCTGTCGATCCATGTGGAAACGGGGAAGAAAGATTCGAAATCGCGACGCACTACCTAATTCCACCTTCTTCTTCTTCTAGTTGATTATTATTTATTTATGCTTGTTTTTCTTACCTTTCAGTTCGGTTTCAATTGGCTACGTCTGTATACGAATTTTCTCTCCGCGTTATACCTCCATCCGAGCACCCTCCCCTCTCTTACGCTCCTTTCTCTTCTCTCTGTGCGTCTCTCTCCTTTCTCCCTCTTATTCTCACGTATCCACGGATGATTTTTCGTGACACGGGAAGAACAGGAGAAGACGGAACGAACGGTTGACACAGGCACTGTCGCACACGCGTGTAAACACTAATCGAAGACAGAACCAAAAGAAAGAAAAAAAACAAAAATTAAAAAAAGAAACAGAGACGGGAAACGCGAAAACGAAAAACGAAAAATGCAAAAATGCAAAACGAACGAAAGAAGGAAAGGAACCGGAAAGTAACGCTGAAAGCGAAGAGGTCCAAGGGAAATTGATCGCTATTAGCGAAACGTGATTCGATGATCGTCGTAGCGACGAGGTAACAAGGTGGAAAACCGAAGACTTTTTTAGATTACGATGAAACGAGGAGAAACGCGTGGAAGCAAAACATACAAAAGACAAAAATATAAATAAACGTACATAAACATGAACAAATACGGTAAACAACAGCAACCAGCAAACGAAACAGCAGAGAAAACAATGAAAAAAAAAATCGTAAACAGAGAGAGAAACAAAAAATGGAAATAGTTGTAAAAGCTACACATACGTACACACACACAAACATACACACACACACACACCATACGCGTACACACATACACACAAAAATGTACTAAGTAAGTTCATACTGCGTATTGCCTTTCTGACTTCGGTGTGAAAATATATAAATAAACAAAAAAAAAATGTCAGTCACGCCGGGACTCGGGGATTTTCGAGAGATTCGTATAACATTATAACCTTTTAATAAAATCCCAAAGGGGTGGGGGTGGGTGGGGGGCGCACGGTATGTCGCGTTTCCCGTTTCCAACCGACGGATCCTCTCCGTACGTTTTTGCCCGAGAGGAATATGGAACAGAGAAAGAGATCGAAAATCAAGGAACACACGAGATACGTGTCCGGCCACGACGTCGGCCGTTACCGTGAAAGATACTTTTTCCAACGACGACCCTCGTATGGGCGTGCTTCCTTCCCTCTTCGATCTCTTCCTCGAGAACGATCGTGGCCGTCGATCAAGCACCGATGTCGTCACCCCCGATCTGTGAATTTACAAAAATGTGAAACGAGAACCGCGACGCAGAACACGTCGCCCGTAAAACGGAAGGAAACTTCTCTGTTTTTTTCTTTATCTTCTTCGTCGTCACTTTTCCGCGGAAAAGTTGTCCCCGCGAAGCAACGAAAATCCCCGCGTCCCCGCCGGCTGTGTCTGTTTCATGTTTTTCAATATTTGTAATTTATCGATAAAATTATTAAACAAAGGTATCGATACATAACAGTCTAAAGTGTGCGCTACTCTACATAATATTATTATATATAAAGTATAAAAGTATACATTATATATATATATTATATATATATACATATATATTATATATGAAGAAGTATAATATATATATTATACACACATTGGGATTGGTGAGAATATACGGTTTTTTCGCTTTGGAGTGTTATTTTCTGAAAATATTGAACAAAATATGGAAAAAAAAAATTAAAAAATAAAACCAATGAATAAAAAACAAAAAAAAAACAAACGTACATGAACGAACCGTTCCTCTGTGATTATCTTTCATTGCGTCGCCACTGTGTTCTTTTTTTCTTTTCAGTCGCGACCAGCGACTCCTCGAATCAGCTCGATTCGAACAACCAAAATCGGCGGGCCACCGATTTTTCTTTCGATCGTCTTTCAGTCTCTGTCGAAACACGCGAACTCGCGGAAACCAGAGATGTTCAATTCAAGAAACAATTCGTCGGCCGGAAACGAAAGCGATCGATCGAACGAAGTTGAAAACGAGGTTGAGCCCCTCGATCAGTTGAATTCCCTTTCCGTCGCGTGTGCTCTCTCGGTGCATTCAAAGTTCACCCGAAATTTTAGCAGACCGAAGAAGATGCAGCCGATCGACCAGAAGTTTCCGGCGAATCCGACCGAAAGTTCTTGCGCACCATTCCCCCTAAATTCAAGAGCTTGCGCGGCTCAACGATCAGAATCGAGGCCGAGGAACCTGCGGAGCTCATCGAGTTAGCATTTCCACCGGGTTGGAATTCGAAACAATCGTATCGAAACGCGTCGCGAGAATTCTCGTCTGTCTCTGTAGATCGTTGGGAAATGTTCTGGGCGTTACCGATTATAAGACCAACATGGCGTCCTTTTGGTTCTTGGACACGTTGGCGTTACATGTTCACCGGCAGAAAAAGACTCTGGACCATTATTACTTGAGTGTCTTGATCAGCTGGCTCGCTGGAGAAATGACACTGATTCGAGGTAACTAGGTTTAATTCGTTTAAAATATTTGATTTTCTACCTTAAATTTGCTGCCGTTCATCGACAGATAAGAAGCACTCGCGCGAAGAATTTTTCAGAGAGTTGAAACATATGTTTCTCTTGGCAAGTAACAAGATCGCCGAAGAGAATCGGTTACCTTATTGGGATGAAATCGAGTTGGCCGGAAGTACGGAAGAAACTGACATGGAGAACGAGGGCAATCGTCCGGCAAACGATAGAGATTCAACTGCAAAGTATGTTGTACAAAGTTTGATTAAAATTACTTTTGTCGAAATTTTGGTACGAATTTTTAATTAATTTTATTTGCAACTTTCAAGCAGTTTTCCAAGCAGACCAACCAGAGAACCGCGGAATAACGAGAATAAGGAGGCTTCACCGAATGATGGAAATGGAGGGGTCGACGTATTCTTCAGCAGCCTAGATCCGCTTTTCGTCTTAGATATCGTGATCCGATCTACCTACGACATGTAAGTTTATTCCGTTACTGATCCCAATGAATCGGCCCTCGACGGGAAAGGCATAAAAATCATTTTCGTCGCGCAGGTACGCTAACGAGTTACGTTACTACCTCGTCTATGCAGTTTTCGTGGAACCGATAGAGGTGCAATCTTATCAGCTGCCGTTCAACCTTCGAACGCCACGTCCGGTAAAACTCGGGGAATCGGAGTCGATGCCTTTTAATATGCGACTTTACCAGAAATTCAGTGCTATGAGACCGACGGAAGGATCCAAGAAAATGGCGAAAAAGACGAAAGGTATGACGACGTGTTTTTGAAATTAATTCTTTTATCTCGATAATCTTATTGTACATGTAACAAAATTTGGTGAATTTCAATTTTGCAGGGAAAGGGAAGAAAACAGGTCGACACGAAGTGCCAGAGACTCCTATACATTCGCCCACCGATGAGGAAAACTTGGCGAACAAACGACAATTTATTCTGCCGCTGATAGAAGCAAACGAGGCGGTGCAAATGTTTGAAATGCTCAAAGACGACGTTTAATATTAACTGACAACCTCTAATCCGCTCGTTTTTCCTTTTGGATTTTATTAATTTTTAGCTACAAAGATCGGTATCTAAAGAAAATTCGTGCATCAATACGTTACAAGCACAGTACCCCATTCGCGGCAGCTGAAATCTTTAATGCTCGAGGTGCTTATAGGAATTTGGAGCTTGACAAACTTGGGAGAGCTTGGGAGAGCCTCTCTGGATTGTCCTAACTGTCCGTATTTGTTACATCCGCAACCCCAAAATGTACAGTCATCTGTTGAAAAGGCAAATTTATGAAAAATATTTTCTGCCCTTTGTAATGTTTTAACGATTGGAAACACGTACCCATTACGCATACAGTGAACGTATTTCCGCATTCGACTTTCTTCACGAGTATTTCTAGGCTTTCGTTTCGATCGTCTGTAAAATCTACCAAACTGGGCACAGCCACTACTTTGCTATCCATGCCAGACAGACCTAACTCTCCATACGTGTTCCATCCCCATGTATACAGGTCACCCTACGATTTCAAAATGTTTTCTCGAAAAGACTGCCTCCTTTTTCCTATTTATCATACTTCGTTTTATCCAGAATACTAACTTGATCTGTAACCACGGCGCTGTGCCAACCCATTGCCGAAATCTGTACGACTTTAAGACCGGCCAGAGCCTCGACGAGCTTAGGGCTGTCGCAGTCTTCTAAATCATTGTGTCCCAGCTGTCCACGCCTGTTTTATACAAATCATTCTTTTTGCTGTAAAAAATAGCGTAACGATTCGAGGCACTCATTTCACAAACCATACGTACGTTCCCATCCCCATCGAATAAACATCACCGTTTTCTGCTAATAGGATAGTGTGATCGAAGCCACAAGCAATGTCTACAAATTTTATCCTTTTTGGCATTTCGACCAATGTAGGAACATTGAAAACACGACCTGAAGCAACAACGCGATAAGTACAGAAACTTTGTTGCCTAACAGATCTCCGGTACTTCTAAGCATGTACCTAAGTTAGTAAGGACCACGGTACATCCTCCTTGCAGAATTTTAACAGGATATTCACTTGCTGAATCATCATTGCTTGGAAGAAAATTGATCACCTTTTTCCAAGAATTTTCATAGATTTTGTATCGCCATAATTCATTGCTACTCGATAAAATTACTATGCTCTCTGTCCCAATTGCAGCTATTTTACAACTAGAAAAGACAATGGACCTTGTAATGGACTACTTTCTGTACAACAGTTTATGTTAGACATTGTACCTATCCAATGGGTTTGCTGGTATCTGTATCAATTGAATATTAGAATCCTTGCGTGTACTGCTATCCCCAACCTTCTTACAAATATATAATTCCCTTCCCTTCCAAAGGAGAAAATAACTCCATCCTATTTGAAAATCAGTAATTCCAGCAAATGGAATTTCAGTGAAAGTATCCACAGCAAAGACATCTTCGTTGCTCGAAAACAATGTACTTGTATTGAATCCGGCATAATAAAGCAACATGTTTCTAACAATGAAAATAAATTATTTCTATGAGACTATGGTTCAGCTACTTTATCAAACACTATGTAGACATAGGATCGACAACCCAACAAACTTATTAATAAAGAAACAGATTTCCTTGACTGTACTTTCAAAGTAACTACATTTGTATACATGCAGCAAGGTAGCAAACTATCTATACCTAATTCGTTGTTTGTACGTAAATACTGTGTTATGTTATTGGTCAGACAGCACAGGTGTAGGATCTGTTTCCTTAGCTACGAAGGAAACAACACAACAAACTCGGTGGACGATAACCAAGCAAGCAACGTATCGTGGTTAACTGTCACCACGTTTTACTTCCCGTTTAATATAGAACAAACGAAATATGGTAACAATTCAAAGATAATTGATCATTTTAACGTGCACCAAACAATCCATTATGCACCCGTTTTCACCGTTTGAAAGCTATCTCAAAGAACGAGACACGTATAACATAACCTGTCAATAGCTGCACTCTCGAGATACAATGAGATTTACTTTGTCAAGACGCATTCCATTAACTAAAAGACGTACGATCAAAGCATCAATTGTTCTCTTATCGAAAATCAATCACTGATATTCATGGCTTAACAAACTACACTTAAAATACAGTAACGTGACAAGACGTCATTTTCCATGCAAAGATGCACGAACAATTTCGTCTGCTACACTGAAAACCGCGCGTAATTTGAATCGGTACACCCTGCGCCCATTTTACAGTCGATATTTACAACCCCTATTTAATCAATAACGATCACAGGGATTGTTGGCGATCTTAAAGAAATTACGTTCGAATCCGGACAAAGAATTACGTCTGCTTCTTCTGGGGCTTGACAATGCTGGAAAAACTACGATACTAAAGTCGTTGGCCAGCGAGGATATCACACAGGTATAGTGTTCCCGACAATATTTTAAAACGCATTTTCTTCTACTCTACAAATTCTAAACCGATTTAATGTTAAAGGTAACGCCAACGCAGGGCTTCAACATAAAAAGTGTGCAAAGCGAAGGCTTCAAATTGAACGTCTGGGACATCGGCGGTGCACGAAAAATTCGTCCATACTGGCGAAACTACTTCGAAAATACGGACGTTCTCGTAAGTAGGGACTCGAGCAGGTTCTGCCCCGGAGAAATACGTTAATAATTCGTACTTTTCTGTTATCGCGAAGATATACGTTGTGGACAGTGCTGACATAAAGAGACTAGAGGAAACGGGGCAAGAATTATCCGAGCTTTTACTCGAGGAGAAACTACGGGCTGTTCCGTTGTTGGTGTACGCGAACAAACAGGATCTCGGACAGGCTGTGACCGCGGCCGAAATCGCGGAAGGTCTTGGACTGCATAACATTAAGGATCGAGACTGGCAGATCCAGTCGTGTATCGCGACTGAGGGAAAAGGTGTCAAGGTACGTTAACGGTAATTTAACGACACCATTGAACAGATTTAAAATTCACGTGGAATCGTCCAATTGCCAGGAGGGTCTCGAGTGGGCGTGCAAAAACATCAAGAGGAAGTAATGACGGAGGAGAAAGAAAAAAGGACCGCCTGTGTGCGTGTGTGTGTCCACGGTGAACGCTGCAGAATCAGGACGTGACCCGTTCGCCGATGTATTCCTGTACATCCGTCATACGTTTTATTTGGCTTTTATCTAATATTTACAGGAGCTGTTGGTTGACAGATTGTGCTGTTAACGAATTCGATGGTGTACGCGCGCGAGCGCGATTAAACCGGCCGTCGGACCTTCCGTGGCCCCTGAAGAACGTGGTCTGTCTCTCTGTGGGCGTCGACGACAAGAAAGAAACGTGCCTCCTCGGACACGTTCTGTTCTCGTCGGAATAGAACTTTTATAGACATCTTTAGAGAAAATAAATTAACGAGGCGGAGGATAAAGAGAGAAAAATAAATTGTTCCGAGAGAATTGAACGCCTAGTTATTCGGCTACACCCACGACACATTTTTCGTATTTACACAACGAAGAAACGAAGGGTATTGAGACGCGACGTACCCTCCGATTCGTCGATTTTTCGTCGCGAATCGAGCCTCCTAATAAGATAGATCAGTTAACGTTCTTATCACGATACATTCCCGCGACGAGCAATAAGTATTTTATAACCGATAAACGTTGCCGTTGATCGCGAAACGCTACCATTCCTATTCCTTCCCCGTACTTTTGACTTCGACGAAACCGAATGTCTCTCTCTTTCTCTCTCACATGCGCACTTATTTAGAGATCAAAGTTCACTGTGAGTGCTCTCCGTGGTGACTCGGATTTCCTCCTCGTGGAACTCCGTGCACGCGGCCGGATATTTTTGCTGAAAATTTGATAGTATTGGTTAAACGATTAAACGATCGTGGATGCATTATACGATGCTTTAGTTAAAACGGTTCACTCACGATGCATCTGCTGTGCTCGGTGATAGCCCCGTAGAGGGTCCAGAAACTGGTTCCCAGCTTGTTGCTAACAGCCCAAGCGGCTGGGTAGCTTGTCGCCTTCAATATACCACTTCTCAAAGGCGACTGTTCCTTATCCTGTTCGTTCATCTCGTTTATGGTGCATAGGATCTGGCTGGCGCATTGCGGCCTCTTGATCGACCATTTGTACGCTCGATAAGACTATAAAACGACCCGTTTCACGTTAGACACCGATCACCTCCTCGAATCACGCGTCTCGTTATTTACCTTAAGCATGGGATCGACGATATCGTGGTTGATCACGTCGCTTAGTCGATTGCTGATCTCCCTGGCGTTCACTCGGGACATTATGAATCCCTTCTCCGACGCCAAGGCGATTAGCTCCTGGATGTACGCCACCGCTGGTCTGATGTACTGTGAACTGTCGACCTGCATTCCCACGTGTCTCTTCGCAACCGCGTCGACCAACCTGTGAACAGTTTTCGGAATACAATCGTCTGACTTGTATATTATCTTCCCGTCCGTCGTGATCTTTACCTGGAAAGGCTCTCCACCGGTCTCATCGCGTCGAACATGGCCGACTTCGGGAAGCCCTGCGACTTTAGGAAACTGTTCCCTACAAACTGGGCTGTGTTCAAGTAACGCTGCTGGATCTGCGGATCGGACACATGGGAGATCCACTCGCCGACGTAGTTCGTCAACGCTCGGATCCATCGTCGACGTAGGGACGGGTTCTCGAAGCTGTCCAGCATTTTCTCGTACTGTAAACGTCCATTCGGGTCGGACATCTGGCCGACGAATTGCGCGAGACCGCTGTTCTTCCACAATGTCTGGCCCAGTTCCGAGTTACTGAAGTGATCCCACATCACGTGCAGATGCTCCAGGACAGGTGGCATGTACCAAGAGTGTCCGGAATGATCATGCGGTTTTCTGGGGTGACCGTCGACCTCATTAGCCCCGTTGCCAAGATTCTGCAGCAGCATCGGCAACAGGCCCATCATGAAGTCGCTGTTCCCGGAGTTTTGGCCGAACAGCATGCTTCCTATATTCAGCAGACCCTCAAAGTCCAGGCTGGACTCTTCCTGTTTCTCGACGTCCCTGGCGACTCGGTTCTGACTGTCCTTGTTCGTGTTCACCATGCTGTCCAGAACCGATCCGATTATCGAATAGTCCATTCCCTGGCGGTTCTCATTGCCCTCGAACAAAGCTCCGATGCCCGAGATGATCTGTCCAATCCCGTCCACGTTCGTTTTCCCTCCGAACATATCGTTCCCCTGTATCAGAGAAACAGTTGTACAACCCACGAGCACATTTAGCTTCCACTAGGGGGAAAAAAGTGGCGTAGGGCCCCTATCACTTGGTATCGGGAATTACTGAAATTTATGTGAAATTGACATACGGTATTGCATTTATTTCAGTACTTGGAGTAAATTCACCAAGTGCTAGAAGACCCTTCTCCAACGCCAATTTTTCCCCTAGTGGAAGAAAAGTCTCCTACCACTTGATAAATTTACTTCAAGTACTGAAATAAATGTTAAACCGAATGTCAATTTGGCAACATACCCATACGCTACTTTTTTCTCTATTGTTACACTACCTGTTTCCCCGTGTCAGGCTGCACGAACGCGCTGGCCAAGCCCTGAAGTCCGTTCATACTGTCCTTGTTCGCGAAGAAGCTTTTCGCCGCCTCCAGAAACACCGCCGAAGCATCTTCCTCCACGTGTTTCTCGCAGTTCGCCAAACCAACCAGAAGCAACAGGATGCACGTCCTCGGCAACAACATTTTTTCTCCTCGCTCGAATTCCACTGTTCTCTGCCACGGAACAACCCTGAAGAAACCGATACAAAATTACATGAAGAAAGGATTGATTTGCGGCGCCCAGTTATCCTAGAATCGTGGAATTCGTTTGTGTCCGAGGGGTCCCAAAGGCAGGAAAGACGACGGGGAGTCGTTGACCTTCAGCCGGATCCTGATTCTGGTCGAGTTATTTTAGGAAGGCGCAGCGTCTTCGAGGTCGTGAGCGACACACCGGAAACGTTTCGGCTCGTGGTCAATCCGATATACCGTTGCTCTCTCTCTCTCTCTCTCTCTCTCCTTCCGCGTAACGAAAGACAATCGCCTCTACGACGCGTCGTTATTACGCGAACACTGTCTCTGCCAACGATCGAGGGCCGAGCACCTCACACATCTAGCCTGGATTCTACTAAACACGATGGTTTTCGAAGACAAGAAATTACCTACGAAGAAATCTTTCGAACAGAATAATGGAAGGGGTTCATCCTCCCTTTCGAACATCATTCATAAACGGGAGTTTAACCCTTTAACGCCCGGACCCTTAAATCGTTATTTGAAAATTATGAGATTCATATATAGGCTGTTCCAAAATAATTGCAAGTCCTTGAAATGAGTGATTCTTGGGGTAATGTGAAACAACTTTTTCCTTGGCGAGAAAATTCTCCGAGGCACCAAATTCTCAGACATGTGACAACGACATTAAACTGAATTTAGCAAACATGTACATTATTCGTTATCTTTGAATCGACGTGAAATATTATTTCGCTGGTATTAACACTTAATATATAAAATAAATGTAACACTTGTCACAAGAATAGAATTTCTTTCCTATCTGGGAAAATATTAACAATAAAGTAATTCTTGAGAGTGAAGTAGTAAAAGTAATCATACAACAAGGGGTTAAGAATGTCCTGTATAATTTTCAACTAAATTTGTACTCATTAAAAATGTCCATGAGCCACTTTAAAGTGTAAATCATCCGGCCTTGAGATTCCGGTTCAATCGGGTCGCGAGGTATCGGTGAACGGTCCTCCGTGTCGTGGTAACGCGGGAGGAAGGCGTCGTGAATGGGGAAAGAAGGGGTCGAACAATCGGAGCGGGGTATTCTAACGAGCAATTCCAGTACCGTAAACCGCATGAAATTGACATTCTCGAGTCGGAGGAGCGATTCGGGGTAACGGTACACCGGCCAGTTACTCATCGTTCCTCCGACGCGCCAAACCTTGCCGAACCCGCGTCGATTGACAGAGGGCACCGACTGGATTCCATTCGTGGCACAAGGGTAGGGGCACCTTCCCGATCGTGGTCGAAATTGAAATCAAGCATCAGTGTGCGCGTTGTCCCGGTTTCGACCGGATCCACGTGGCCTGCGTTCTCCATCCAGTCCCGAAACATCGAGGCCCAACGAGCAGCGAAAATTCAAGCTGGTCGACCTGAATATCAGCGACGTAACAAGAATCGAGGCGACCCCGTTCCGCCCCGTTTGTACATTATCAATTTCGCGCGTTAACACGGAAAGTGCAAGACGAGTTGTTCGAAAGGGAAAGCGTGGTAAAACACTCGGGGACCTTCGTTTGTCCGTTTCCAAGGTCGGTCAAACGTCGATACGATTTTATGATCGAAGAGCACTGTGCACGTGCCGATGACACATCGCCATATGTTCAATTTTGCCGCGAGGCATAGTGGGAACGCAGCTTAATCGATTTAAAACATCGAAGTACTTTTCCTTGTATATTTTCATTCGTTATTCGAAACCCTTTATCTAAGTATGACAAATGTGCCGATCTCCAATTATTCATAGATTTTACTGGACAACGCGTACCGTTGCCGAATGAACGACCCCCTAATCGAGTACAACCCGATGAAAACAGAATGAGGAATCTTGTTAGGCCATTCAAAAATTCGCTGGCCTGCGGATAGCGTCCCAGGCACTTTGCTGCGTAATTAAAGAAGCTCGTTAGACACGGTCAGAGTAACTTCGTACACGCCGGCTGAACGCAATTTGCCGTCCCGTGTCAGTTAGTTTGAAAAACGGCTGCCGCGCTGTGTGCTTCACCTCCGTTCGTCCGTAGATGCGTCTTTACCAAGTATGCGGATTTCGTCGAGTATAGTACCGCAGAGTCATCGGACATTCCTGTGATTCGGTGAAAGGCAGCGACCCACGGGTGTAGGAACGAGAAGGAACACACGAAAAAATGGACACGCGTTCGTTCCGACCGGGTATACATTATACATATATGTATCTGTTTGGTGACTCGTCCGTCGATAATTAGTCTTCGTCAGTCGTGTTCGGTTTTCCATTATCGTTCCACCAGGCGAGATAACGCCTCTAATTGTGCTGGTCACAACGATTACGGTTCTTTTTTTGCAACGCGAATTTGGCGTTCCTCGATACCGGGTAATTCTTCACGAAACGATCACAGAACAGACGGGAATTATGTTAATTCGCAATTTCTTTCCAATGATCGGCAAGCCAGCGAACGATTACTAGGTTAAGAAAATGGTACCTGGTAATTATACCCACACAATGTATACAACGTATAGAGTTGCATTAAATATAAATTTATCGGTATTCGGACAACGAACAGCCTTGAATGTTTGCCTGCTATTTATATTTGGAATATAAATAAGTGAACGAATTTTGACAAGATTGTACAGGACGGTTAAACGGTGCCCGTTACTTCGTTCGCCTAACAGCCTCGTTAATTCGAGGGCAGAGAGGATCTCCAGGACGTTTCGGCGGCCGATTCGACCCAAAAGCACGGACCGTTTCGCGAGGCAAACGCGAATCCGTGAAACAGGTTATGAAAATCCGCGTGGCCGCAACAACGGTAATCGCAATCAACTAGAGCGTGTTCGATAGTGTTTTCCAACGTGAATACGATCATTGAAGCCTGAAACACACACACACACACACACACACACACACACACACACACACACACACCGATACCGATGCGCATCGCGCGCTTTGGATACGTTCGAACCGTTGTTCGTCGGCACATCCACGCGATCCGTGTTCACCGATCCATCAAGTACGTTTACGACTATCACGATTCAGAATCCAAACGAAGAAAGGTTCCTTCCAAATTCCCACACGAGGAAACACTGAAAAATCGAACGGAAGTAACTGTTCGTTTCAAATCAACACGAATGTGTACACTCATACAGAATTTCCTGCCGATTTCGATTGCCAAAAATCTCTCCTGTATACGTGTACCGATCGTTCCAAGAGAACGGATTCCACAAGACGAACAGAAAAGTCTAGATCCTATTCAACAGACACGACGAACACGAGAGAGACAGCTGCCGGAGAGACAAAAACGATCTGAATACAATAGGGACACGAGACGAAGGGGGAAAGAAATACGAATTTCCGGTCTACGTGGTGCACAACTTACCTCGTAGTACACTGGCGATATATCGGGGTGCAAGATTAATTCCTGGCGGGGGAGGGAGGGGTGTTACTCGACGGGCGTTATCGAAGAACTCGCGGAACAAAACCCGAGGAGGAACGTTCCCGTTGGTCTCGTAGAACCGTGGGCACCTGACGCAGCGATGGTTGTGGCGTGACTGCCGTCGAAGGTAGCCCGTCGAACGGTACTTACCTACCTGAGCAGGTAGGCACCAGGCTACGAGCCGTGGAACTGCTTGTACAACACCGTGCACCGCTTGCAGCTCCTACGAAGCTCGACACGTTCCTACGACACGAATACAATCAAAGATTTTCGAGAGGCTGTGTACATTACACGGCCGTTTTATTCCCTCCCCCGCCCCCTCCCTCCCTTCGTTGAATGGAAAAGCGGATTCGCTCGTAGAAACCAACCCGTCTTCTCGAGCCAGCCGACTCTTATACGTTCTCAAGTACGCATCGTGTAACCTGTTTCCAGAAGGATTCGTCGAAAAGTCGTAGGACTCGGCCTGGTATAAATCGGATGACTCCCGTAAGAAATTCCAAAAACGGCAATATCTCAAATGAATCTAACCCGTTTATCGTGATCTCACTCGATCGAACTGTCAACGAAAAGAAAGAAAAAAAATAATAACCGGCTTGTGGATGGTCGTATATGAAGATCGGCACTTTCGGTGGGCTAAACCCCGCAGGCCTGTTAGCAGTCGTCGACCCCGTCGATGGAATTGGGGAATCACGCGTCAAAACCGGGGGCACACCACGACGTCCCGTTTTAATACGAAACCACCAAGGTCGCGGCGAACGGCCGAGCTATGCCGTACCTGGGGAGCACAACGAAACGATTTGTTGAACCGGTTCGGATACGGTGGGCCGTGTGCCAGGATTTAAGCGTCCGATGACCAACGCACGCTGGCATTCGTCCGAGTTAACTTAACCCCACGGATCATCCGTGGCGCAGGTGTTCTCCGGGGAGAGAGCCTCTCGATTTTCCCTGCCAGCAGAAACGTTCGAGGGAGAAAAAAAGGAACAGAAAAAAGTATAGTTCGCCACGAGATGAAACACCGTTACGAGATCGGTACTCGTTACTTCGATCCACGTTTTGCTCGATGAACCTTCGATCACTGACGAGATATAAGACCTTTCATCTTATGGGAGTTGGTGGCCCACCTGAAACTGTAATACCGACACCTTAAATAGCCTGTGATTTTAGCGACCTCTACGTTATGAGAACGGTGAATCTGCGGTGGTTAGTGACACTAAAATGGAAATGGGCAACGTCGTCCCAGAAAAGTGGGCCGAAAAAATTCATTGGATGAAATGTCTATTCCTATACCTTGTCTGTGCTTCGATGATTGGACGCCGATAAAACGGTGGAATTTCACAGTGATGGAGAGGTTTCCAAGGTCGAATAAACCTCGTTTTTTCCCGTGGTGCCATCGATTCCGCGTGTTTTCAACAACTCCCCGATCGCCACAAGTCAGTCTTATGATTTCGTTCAGCGTTTCGTCAATATTTAACCACGTTCCACGCTTAAGGACACGTACGATGCAGCACCAGCTGACGCTACGGGTTGCACAACCTTTGCGCGTAAGCCTTTCTTTCTGCAACATTTCTTTCTTTTCGGCGCAACTCTTTATTATATTTTTATTCGTATGAAAATACAGAGCGTCATAGGCGGCCGTTGCGCGACTCGAGCGCCGGCTGGCTGTGTCCATCTGAATAAAAGATCAAAGGGGAAAAAGACAGCACGTAAGTGGGCGTCAGCGTTCCGCGACTTCTCCTTTGCCTTCGCGATTAATCATACATTGAGGAAGGATTGGGGATAAAGCAGAAGACGGTGTTCTTTCCCGAGGGACGAACGTGTTTCTATCGACTTCGAGAATTCGACGAAAATTATGGAAGAGAGACTCGTGTTTTCGGAGAGGGTGCTACGATTGTTGGGCGTTTGGCCATTGTGCGGTAACGATATCATGAGAACGTCCCTTGGCCGATGGTGTTTCGCCATGTTGACGCAAGTAAGTGTCGGGTAGTTGCTCGTCGTTTCGCCATCGACAGATCTGTACACTTACGATTAACCCTCCGTAGGCAAACATAATTTTTTTCATATTTCGTAGGCAACCTGGGTGATTTATGTCCAAGGCTAACTTCATTACTGTTTTAGGTTTTCAAAAAATCCGACGAAAATTCTGAGACATTTATCGAAGTCTCTACTAGATTATACAAAATCGTTCCTTAAGTCAAATGTTCGAAACTTTTGTCGCGTTTGGTCTCGTATCTGGCTGGGACTCCACTTAACGTTTATACTTTTTATCAAATTAAAACCTAAGTTTGCATACTTTGGTCTTAATCTTTAGTTTTATTTGATCGTTAATATATCTTCTTTATGAAAATATCATTCTTTTGTAACAAAATAAGAAATGATTAAAAGAAATGTTTACAACGTTTCTTTTTCAATAATTTTATCGTCGACCTTGCAATCTTTTAGTAACAATCGGAAAGTTGATGCTTTCAGGAGTGTTCTGTTAAATTTCCATCTAAATGTATAATTATTAAAAACGTGCGTCAGCCACCTTAAGCATATCGATGTCCACCGAAGATCGAGAAGATCCTGCAGCAATCGTTTCCGTAATTAGATCAGTACTATCTGCAGTCTGTCCATGGAGGTGTATCGGCATTGTCTCGACATGGACGACACGATGGACGCTTTTGTGATGGACCTCTCCTCCGTCATTTGCCTGTCGAAGGTACTGATACTGCGATACAATTGGAAGCATACCTATTCTCTGGTGAACACGATCGCGGAAGACTGGTCCACCGTCGAGGATTCCCGTCATCGACGGATAATGGCCGAGTACCGTGAGAAAGGACGATTCGTTTCCTCGACGATGCTGTACTTGGGCTACGCCTCCGGACTATCCTTCGTTGTCAAGGCTTTGCCGATCCACGATCTCCTGCCATTTCAGGTTTAATCGTACCGATCTCTGAACACAGGACCACGAAACGTGATCACCTTAGAATATTCCACTGCTAGCTGTTCGATCATTTTTTTGCATGTATAACCATCAGTACAGACGTCATAAATATTTCGACACCATTTTGAACATCGTTTTAATTAAAGTAAATGATATTTTCTTAATGCTTCTTCGGTTTACAAGAAAAAAAATTATTTCTGATTATGCTTGCGGAATTAGTTCCAATATCCGTTAAAAGAAGGGTGTAAAAAAATTATACGTTTGTCTGCATGGGCATAGCCAGGGGGTCAGAGGGGCACTTGCTCTGCCCTAGAAAACAAAATTTGAATTTTGCCCCTCCCTTCCAGAAAGAAGAGAAATTAATATCCCCCCGACTGATAACCCGACTACGCCCTTGTTCATCTATACAATAAACTGAAGGTGACCTTGAAAGCTCTGCAAAAAAAAAAAAAAGGGTTGACAAGAAATTCGTTACGATCATCATAAAGCTCTTGAATCATGTTATACTATCTAAAAAAATGCTTGTTATACTATCTAAAAAAACAGCTACCAGTGGAATAATTTAAACTGATCACGTTTCGTGGTCCACTCTGTATCACGAGTCCCCGTGTTCCATTTGTAGCCTAGTGCCCCTATGAGACGAGATCCCGAACGATCGCTAACCGGCTCGTTTCGTTCAGATGTTGGAAAATTCGGAAAACTCGACAGGCCGAGTCGGCCAGTCCCCGAAGAAAAACTATTTCATGGCTACCTACTGCGTGTTCGGGCCTCAGCCCTTCACTCGACGGGCTTTCGTGCTGGTCGTGCAAGCGGTGTGCATATTCGTGAACGCGATCGGCCATTGCGGGAACGACGGTTTCTTCTTCAGCTTGACGATGCATCTGTGCGGTCAGTTCGAGGTGCTCAAGATGAACCTCGGTGAAATCGAGATCGGGAAGGCCGGTCATCGCAGGAGAATGGGCATGCTCGTGAAACGGCACTGTCGGCTGATCTTGCTCGCGGACGATCTCGAGAAGAGCTTTAACATGGTCATGCTGGTGCAGCTGCTGATGAGCCTGTTGCTGCTTTGCGTCGAAGGTAAAAATCGACTGTCTGGACGCCCGCCCGAGTGAACGGCGAGCTTCCTTTCGTTTCATCGGTCAGTTTTCATCGGATTCGAACGATTCCGCGATGGCAATGGATAAATTAACGTACGGTTCCAATTTATAATTACGCAGAAATCAAAAAAAGCAATTAGTTGAAATATTTTTATATTTCTTCGAATATATTAAAAATAATTTTTATTTAAATGGTAACCAGATATTAATATACGAAGAAATTTTTCAAAGATGACGCGAATAAAAAATATGGATTTTTAATTATTCTGGTTACAAATAAATATTATAAATGATCAAAATTTTGTTCGGTTACTAATAACAATTATTGGCGACGGAAATTGGTTTTGGTTGCACGTAACTATTATCGATGACGAAGAATTTTTTATTTTGATAACCATTATTGATGACTGGAATTCTTTTTTGGTTACGCGGTAACCAATATGTATGACGAGGGTTTTGTTTTGATTACTTCCGATTAATTTTATTAACCTATCTATCAGCGACGCAAAATGAATTATAGAATTTATATATTTCAAGTTAAAATATAGATACGTTGATAAGAATAACGTTAATAAAAGTTGACGATGGTCGAAAACAACCAAAATAAAATTCTCGTCATGGATATTGGTTACCGCGTAACCAAAAGAAATATTCCTGTCGTCAATAATAGTTATCGGTAACCATAGGCGTAGCCAGGGCAGGCAGGAGGACTTTTCACTGAACGGAAAATAGTGACATTTGCCCCACCCTACAAGAAAAAAAAATTTGGATTTTACCCCCTTCCCTTTCCAGAGTTACAAAATTTTTTCGTAATATTTATTATTACGGTATAATCTGAAACATGACCAACAGCTTCTATTAACGAAACGCATACATTTTCAACGATTTATAACTTTAAACACAAAATAAAGCATGTCCGACTACGTACAGCTTTTTTCACTGTGGTAGTCTGTGTGTTAATATTTTTGCCCCCTGACTGATAATCCTGGCTACGTCCATGTCGATAACCAAAATAGAATTCTCGTCATCGATAATGGTTACGTGCAACCAAAAACAATTTCCGTCAGAATTGTGATTGGTAACGAAAAAAAATTTTGATCATTTATAATGGTTAATCATAACAAATATAACTTTCGTAGGCAATAATTGTTATTCGTGACCAAAATCATTTGCACAAAGATATTAACTCTAATACAATCACGTTATAACAGTTAAGGTTTCTGCAGTAATTAGACCCCAGCGTGCAGATAGTATTCGACCCTGTTCCTTTTCCTGCTTATCTTCGCGCAGATGTCCCGAATACCAACCCAATGTACGTAAACTTTTCCTTGCCTCACCTATAAAATTGACATTACCAGTCCCCCACGGTATATCCTGTAAAAAAATGAAACTAAATAAAATTAGAATACCGCAACGCTTAATTTTGCACGGTTACTTAGATGCACTATTCTTCAAAGCGAATTTAGTCGATTGTTATTATACATAACGGCCTTCGATTGCACTCGCGAACCCGATACCGTCTAATTACACCACTGCTCGTTATTTATCGGCCCGTAGTTTCGTAAACACGTCGACACATTGTGCGTATAGCTGCTTCAAAGATATAGCGTTAGCCATAAACGGGACCGAATCCTTAAACCATTAGTACTCGATCAGGGGCCCAATATGTCCCGTCGCATTCAGGGTTGTACGCCACTTTCAGCTATGGGGTTCCAAGGAATAAAACGAAAAAGACTGGAATATTTAAAAGAAATTTACGTTTTCGTATTCATCAAGAATAAATTCCCAGAAGTATTTCAGATCTGAAATTAGGACGCTATAAAACCTTGTTTAATTACGTTAATACGCAAAAACCGATCACAAATTGACGTCGTACACCCCTGAACGACAAAAGATCATCGAACGATAGGATTAAACTATCGAAACATATATACGTTAGGGTCGGTCAGGTTTATGTCTAACGCTATATCTTTGAAGCAGCTATAATCGTCCTTCGCCATTGTCGTGTTGCGCCTGGACCGTTCTAACGCGTCTATTGTCCCGCGAACACCAGATTTCATGGTGCTGGTCTACCTGAACTCGATGGACAACGTGGCCGTTCTGAAATGCCTGGTGATCATCGTCACGTTGCTCACCCAGTTGTACGTTTACACGTACGCCGGCCACGTTCTGGAGTCCCGAACCGAGGAGATCTCGTACGCTGCCTACGATTCGCCCTGGTACCGTTCACGTGGACACGCAGCGAGGGATCTAGCGTTGATAATCAACCGTGGAAACTCACCGTATCGTATCACAGCCGGGAGATTCGTGTCGATGAATCTGGTCACGTTCAAGGAAATATTAAAAGCGTCCGTCTCCTATATGTCCGTTCTAAAAGTGATGATGGACACGTGAACGTCGAAGACAGCTCGGTGGTCGATTAGATTTCCACTCTTTCGTTTTCCTTCGAAGTACCACCTGAAAAAATGATTCTTCGAAAACATTCTCGTTCGCATCCATTACACAAATGTCATTTTCATTCACCGAACTTTTGTCTCTGTGTACGTGTATCAATACGATTAACGCTGTATTTACTTTCCTACGACGTAATAAACACGATACTACGAAGAAACAAAGGAAACGAGGAACCGTTCCTCCCTCTGCATCGTGCGGGCAACTTATCATCCAACTGATAAGTTCTAGCTACCTGCATAATACCAAATGAATAAGGAATAAAACATTCGCGTCCATTTGCTGGCCTCTAGAGTAATCATTCGCAATTTAGACCCATCGGAATATGGTATTCTAGGTCCGGAAGACCGATAATACAACTATCCATTCGCCATAGTCAAAGTATCTACTCTTCGCATTTCCTAGGAGAATTTTCAATGAAAATTGAATGCTCTTTGTAAACACCACCCCTCGACGTTCTTCCATGACCGTTTTCGTAACCAGTACGCGTGTGCCAACGTAGGAACGCGACAAGGAAAACACGTACGAACGAAATAAGACCAAAGATGTCCACGATCCGATACCACTCTTTCTCTCTGACCCATAGTTTTCTTTCTTGGTAACGCGCAGCTGACGCGTGTTTGCCCGACAACAGCCGGTCAAGCGATTACAGGTGAATAAAACATAAACCGAAATACACGGTGCCGCGTGGCACGCGAACAGAAGACGAAGATGACGCGACTGGTAGCGGAGAACGGTCCTCTCCGACGTCTCCTCGAGCATCCATCGCGAAAATGAAGACCCCAACGAACAAGGACTTCGATTACGCGATGACCCCGATTAAAGTGCTCTCGTGGCCCGTGGGCACTTGGCCACTTCAAACGTACAACTTCGTTTCGGGTCTTCGGTGTGCCATCTCTATCGTCCTTTTGGTATGAGACACTTCAGACATTATTCGAACGCTTCGGAGGATGACGGGTGTCGGAGCATCCTTGCTTAACACTAGGTTTACGGGACGCGTCATTTTGACGCATTCTGAATTTTACAAGGAAAATGACCGAAACCCTTTACATTTCTCTCCTGTCATTTATGCTGACTTTTATTGTTTTAACGAGACAAATATATATCCCAATTCATTTTCTTCTAAGCCTTTTAATCTCGGAATTCTCTATGTGGTATACCTATCTCTACGGGTGTCGACAATTTGACGCGATCGTAACTTGAATAGGTATTAATCCTAGTAAACGAGCTCGATTCATGAAAGCATTACTTCAGCAATAAATATGAACGAAAATATAACAAAAAAAAAACGATGTCAATTTGACGCGTGTCCGTAGAGATAGGTATACAAGAAATGTCGGTAAACCTAGTGCTAAGCATATGGTAGTGTTGTTAAAATGAGCCTCGAGTCTTGAGCTTTAACAGCTCGAGTCGCGGTTCAAACCCTAAAGGCTCGAACCCTCAAGGTTCGAAGCTTGAGTCGTGAAAGCTCGAGTCTTTAACGCTCGAGCCTTTAAGCTTGAAGGCTCGAGTCGTATAAATT